ATTTACATAAGGTAATTTTTATGGATTACGTAATTATGTAAAACCAATGTTTAATTTTTCAGGTAAGTATAAATTTTCTAAACATTTCTGTTTATATTTAAAATGATTTTCCTATTACCGATTGATGTCAATTGAAAGACATTTATGAAAACTAACAAGTCATTGAAATCTGTTTTCACTTAATTCTGAACCACTCAATAGTATTCAATACTAACCTTTAGATGCTATGATGGACAACAAAACATATAAACCAATGTATAAAAATACTACTGATTTTAAAAATGTGTATGGCATATGTGTAGTCACTATTACATATTATTAAAGAGTCCAAAATTATGATGAAATACCAATCTAATACTGTCAGGGTTAAATGCTTATTAAAATGTTGTCAAAACAGTATCAATAACATATTTTAATTATCTCCGGTTATAATCTTCACCCTATTGCACAAGCAAGTGGATATCAGGACTCAGTAGCTAAGTGGATAACGCGATGGCGTTTGAAGCGAACGGCACTGAGTTCAAGTCCCAGAGTGAACATCAACTCTGAGATGCAAATACATCCAGCTGACGAGTCCCAAACTGGACGAAACGCGTGCCCTGGATTCCACTGCTAGCCACTATCCATCTGTGCTTACAATATCCGGTTATAGTTTAATCTTATTCTGTTAATGAATCCAAGCACAAAAATACACTAACACACACGCATACATACATACACACTTACACACATACATGCATGCATACATATATACATACATACGTACACAACCAGATGCATCAGATTAGCAGAGACTCTTCAAATATAACTTGAATACTTCTACTCAGAATTATATACACCACCCTGTTTAAAATAATCAGCAAACAGACCAAACAAATAGATGACATAGTTGCCACTACTCGATTATTAGTAGCATTACTAGTAATAATCATATTATTATTAATATTATTATTATTATTATTAATATCATTATTACTATCATAATATTATTTATTATCTTGAGCAATAAAATAAACAAACGAAACATGAAAGAACAAAAGAAGAAAAAATGGATAGAGAATATTTGTACAATATCATACACGGGAAAAAAAATAAAATGCTGACAACATAAATTCTCTTGTTTATCGTCTCTTCTTCTTCCGAATCTTATTCTACGTTTTCTTCGTTGTTAATTGTGGTCGCTTTAATCACTGTTATCATTGCTGTTATCGACGTCGTTGTCACTTTGGTTAGTTGTTGTTGTCGTTTGTTGTAGTAGTGTTTTGTTATTATAAGAAAAGAAAAACAGCAACAAAATATAGCTAACAGGAATGAATGGTCAGTGGTTGGAGATCATTCTCAAACTAAATAACAATCTGACATTTGAACTGAATAAAAGTATGTGTGCTAAGATAGAAAGAAGGAAAGAGGTAGGAAAAGAAGGGTGAAAGAACAATGATATTTTTAAACTGATTCACTATGGTTGAAATTGACTTTGTACGCATATATATGGACGTGTGTTAGAATTGTGAACCTAGATAATATACTTTGCTAAATAAAAGAATTAAATGGTTGAATCAAGTCAAAACATGTACATATATGTGTAAATACATGTATACATGTATGTGTGTGTGTGTCTGTATGTATATATCACTAACATGAAAATGAACCTGCTATTTAAAAAAGACTGAGATGGTTCACATAACAACACAATGCTATTGACAGTATAAAAGGAATGTTATATAACAATAATAACGATGATAACGACAAATATTAGTAATTCAGTAGAAAAAAAGAAACGAATTCTTTAAATGATGGACCCTTAGGTAAAAGAAATTCATTTTCTGTTATAGAAAATACACTACACAGAATTATATTGACTATTATTACTGTCAGTAGTATTGGTGTTCTTGATAAGAATTATCATCATAATAAATGGTAGATATATATTCGTCGTATAGATATTAGTGATTACTATCTTTGCTTATATATCTGGTATGATTCCAATATATATATATATATATGAATCACTCAAGTAAATTAATGGACTTAATGAGAAATAAATAAATAAAGATAACTCCAGTAATTTACAATATATTCAAGATAGGGGGGTATTAAAAAAACTATTGAAGAACAAAATCTCAAATTAACATAAAGACATGTATGTGAGAAATACGAGGCAGAAAGAGGAAGAACATATGAATGAGAAACTATTTTATAGAAAAAAAGTCATTAATAAAAAGGAAACATTGGTGCTTTATATAATAGTTCGACTGTCTTCTACCCACTACCATTACTCCGTTCTTATCGTTACTCACTTATTCTATTATTTCTCATTTTATCTCAATTTTTAGGTAAAACATTCAATAGAAGTAAGAGATTCAAGATGAAAAGGATTGTCAAACGAATCTATCAAATAACGGTTTCAATATAAATTAGTTACATGTGTATCCGTAGCTATATATTTATGCATATGTGATTGTACATAATTATATATATATATATATATATATAAAGAGAAAGAGAAAGAGAAGGATGAATGTATATTATATTCAAATTTGATTTAGATTACTACAAATAGAGTGTGTATATGTTGTTTTTGTTGATTCCTTTTGTTATGTTGTATGTGTATGCATATGTATACACTGTTAACAACAATCTAAATTCATTTGAACTGTATATAACTTGTAACACTAAGGAACTGGTCCCTTAATTTTCCTGATTTAATCTTACATTTTACAATCCAGTCTTCTCAATTTGTATATATATCCTATTCACACACACATATATATGTGTGTTTGTGTGTACATTTGGACTAATTCTCACAACACACTTATTTTTAGTCATGAAATATGATAATTTGGAATGTGGATTTTTTTTAATCTTCAGTTTATAAAAACATTTATATATATATATAGTAATTTGAGAGTAATATCTAAAGGAAAGTAAGTAATGCATGTAAAAATTAACGGAAAAAGAATTATTTCCTCTTTCTTCCCTACACAACCTTAGTGTGAAAAAAAAACAACTCATTATTCAATATGAAGAGAGAAATAGATAACATTCATAGACAATAATCATATCGGTAACTGGGAAGGTATGTATGAAAGTAAAGGTGAGTATTTGATTTGATCTGTTTACACGTAAGTGCTGGTTTAATGATATAATAAATAATATTAATATTATCATTTCATACAGACACATATGTACACAGCCACAGACTCAAATAGATAGATAGATAGACAGACAGACAGACACAATCTGAAATACTTAACACTTCATAAACACACACATACACATCTTACCATTTAAACAAGAACAATTCGTACATGAGGAATAAGAGATAATATAAAAAAACAAAGGATGATAAGAAGTGGGGAAAATGAATATCAACATGACAAAATCCACAGCTAAACTTTCATTTTCTTATTTATCAATAATGTGTATATGAGTGAATACTTTCTGTTAATATTATCTTTCATCTTATTCATTATAATTCTGAACTCTTATAAGAAAACAATCTCTAGTGTCTATACCATTGTTATTGTTGTTGTAATTGTGGCGATGATATTAGAAACTCTTCAATATGTGATTATGATCTTTTGTTTATCACATTGAATTTTCAAACAAAAACAAAAAAGAATTTGAATATTAACTAAATCATTAGTACATATATGAGAGAGAGAGAGAAGGAATACATGTACATATATGGGCATATATATATGATCATATACTACATAGAATATAAAATTAATCATTTCCAATTTCATTATTCTAATAAAAACAAACAATAAATAACAAGGAGAAAAAACAACTAAACAAACAAACTAATAAAAGAGGAAGTAAGAGATAATGTTTATTGTGTAAGGTCATGATATAAGAATGATCCGTTTTTTGAAAAGCAAAACATTTTTATTACAAGTGGTCTCCATTTTTCTGTACAGTAGATCAAAAGGGAGAAAAAAATTATTGATAAAATAAAATGTAAACAAAAATCAAGAAATAAAGACAGAAGAAAGAAAAGTATTAAAAAAATCAAATCAGATTTCATTCCACTTTATTGTGTAACTTTTTCCTACCTCCCTCTCTGTGTGTGTGTGTGTGCGTTCATTTCTTTTTTGCCGTTTCTATTGATCTGTTTATATACTAATCTGTTTCTATTGTTAATCTGTTCATTTTTCTATCTGTCTATCAATCAATCTATCTAACTGTCTGTCTCTCTATCTGTCTGACTGGTTATCTGTCTGTCTACCTATCAATCTTTTTGAATTCTATTTTTTTTCAATAAATCTATTTTGTAAATAACCTCTACTTACATAAAATTTAATTAAAAGTTCAGTTATATTGTGAATTTTTTTTTCTAATCCATGTATCCACCTAGTTACTTTTAATAGATAAAATGGAAACATTGAAAATGTGATAGAGATGAAGAAACCATTAGTTGTTATTTGTTGTTGCTGTTGTTGTTGAAAAACATGAATTCTGAAAGATTAAAAATTACTAATTAACAGTGTTGAATAGATCAGTGTTTCAAATGGTTATATATATGTATATATATAAGCATGAATTGAGAGGGGGTTTGAATTTGGTCCTCATATATATGTTAATATTTTGAAAATCTGTAGTCGATTTTGTAAATAAATCTCATGGATTACTCAAAAAAATATTCAATATATATATATACTACATATTACATTAATAAGTAGTATAATTCTATTAGTAATAATATTGGCAACATATAATAAACTATGAATTAGGAAAGACAGATATAATCAAAATGTTATTTGGAGTTTCATTTGTTTATTTATTTTTAAATGTGGACGCCGATCTAATGAGTACTGAGATTAATAAACTTGAATTGTTTTGTTTTTTTTTTTTGATAAACATATGTATGTACGTGTGTTCAGGTATATGTTCACTTTTGTTTGTTTTTTTCCTCAATAATGATAATATTGATTCATTGATTTTTTTCAAATTGATGTCTATGATATTAATTCAACAAATCGACGTCCACATTATGGTCAGACAACAGAAGAACCACGATTCACTGTTTCAAGTAATCGATTAACATCTTCTTCTGTTCCTGTAATTTTAGCTTGTCGATAATTTTTCCATAATGTTGCGGTTACATCTAATGCAATAAGATCACTAGCTATTTTTGAAACAACATGAAGTATAAATACACCATCAGCGCCTAAATTATTATTTACAAAACGTGCACAATCACGTTCTTCTGTACTAGATATAAGTCTTAATGCTTTTAAATATTGTTTAATATATCGTACACGACGTGATGGTAATATTGTATTTAATGCCCATTGTAATGTATTCAATGTAGTTAATAAACCAAGTATTGCAAACCAAAACCATAGAAATACGTAGATTTTCTCTGTGAAATTATTAATTGGCAAAACACATTGTAGGGTATAGCTGTAAAACAGAAAATTAAAAAAAGGAATATACATAAATTAAATTAATAATGATTGAATTGTTGAGTATATGCAACTAAATTTTCAAAAGAAATGAAATATAATCACAAATTAACAACTTCTTAGTTCAGGTTAAAATGCTTTGAATAACCTGGTTGTTGATAATTTGACTAATATCTGATCAGTCTTGGTTTGTATATGGGCATTCATTGAGGATTGCTTCGATATACCCACTATAACACAAGTTAATATAGAACAGATGTAATGTGACTAACAGTGGAATGCAGGACGCGTGTTTCGTTCTATTTGAGACTCGTCAGCTAGATGTACCTGCAAAGAAGTGTCACTGTTTATTCCGGGATTTGGACTAAGCACCATTTGTTACTGGGTTTGAGTTCCGAAGTGAACACCAACTCTAGGATGGACGTATATGTAGACAACGAGACTCAAACAGAACTAAACGTGTGTCCTGGATTCGATTGCTAACCACACTCCATCCATTCTATTATAACATTTTGACCTATTCTTCAAGATTGATAGCTAAATTTTACGTTAACACAACGTGGTAAGTAGTTTTCGGAGTATTAGAGCAAATATTCCCTGTTACAGTGATTTCAATCACCCTATCAATTCAGACCTATTAAATCTATTGAATGATATATAATTGCATAAAGAGAATTATAATGATAACTAAATAATTTTTTAATAGAGTACAGTTATGATCACTGAACAGGAAGTTGATTAGATGACATTTATGCTTCTATTAAATTAAAACCAACTATACAATTAATTCCAATTTAGTCACAGTTGTTTTGTGAAGTGGCAAAATAGTAGTCAGCTTGATTAAGACCTTCGATTTTGTTTTCACTCTACTTATGAGCTTCATTAAGTTACTGACAAAAACAACCAGATAAATGAATAAGCGATTATAAGAACCGTTTCATTAGATGCTTAGAAATATACGTTTAAAAAACCTTATATGTAAGCCTCTTACTTTTTAGCTATTATCACCATGGTTTATATATGCCCTTGATGTAGGTGAAAATATGAATTTATGTTAATCAAAAAACTTGATACTACTATGTCAAATGGTATATGTATGTGACAAGAGTTTGAGCCTTTGTAATTGTATACTCACTACTGATAAATCTCAACAGACATAACATCAAATCATGTAGCTATAATGAGACTGAAATCTCCCTTACCAAACAAAATGCGGTATCCGAGGTGGATAACGACTACATGTGTCGACAATGTTAGTGAAGGAAAGACCAATTTACTGATCTTGAAAATTCCGAGGTACTTTTTAAATTTGAGTCTTCTTACTTGTATTGCGTAAAGTTGTTCCATATAACTTCTTCAGTCGATTAACATTCAAAAGTTTTCAGATGTGGTAGCGATAATAATAGTAATAATAATTTTTATGATATGGATCTTTCACTTATGATTACAACAATAAACTATTCTGTTTGATAACCTGTCCATTTAAAAGTTGTTCTGTATAGACAAATACAAAATTTGTCTGTGGAGATTGTTAAATTGCGTTGAAACCACAAATCGATCAATGTCAAACCACTATTGAAAACCTAGAATTACTGGACTGATGTCCCATCGTATTGTAGGACCGTTTAGAGGTGCACATCTACAACTCCGCAAGCGGTAACCGAACCCATGACTTTCAGCCTTGTATGTAAGCGTTTAAACTCCAAACTACTGAGGGGACATCTAATGGCTCCTATTATAAATTCAATCACTCCAAGAGAGCACGCTACCAGTTGAGCTAAACTGTATCGCATGTGAGGAAAGCTCCCACCAAATACATTAGGAGATAATCGTGCACTATTGTGGACCGATTAACGTTGTACTCGAAAATCAATGGATGCCAACTCAGTGCTCCAGAGGTTGGACGGTCATGAACGAGACCGACGGTATTGAGTTCGATTTTTGCATAAGGGGTTGTGGACACTCACCTTTGAGGAATCCCATGCTGAGACAAAATAGCCATCCCCTGATTCTAAGTTTCCAGTGGTTGTCTAACATTGATCTATCCGCGATTTAAATAATACTGCTAATTGATGCGAACGGTTTCCAGAATGCTGGATTAATATCATAAGTGTTTGTTTTTCAATCAAGAGGTTTTAGGCCCAAACCCTAACTTGGGTATCACAAGACCTCACACACGAAATAGGGCTATCAGTCAAATATCGGGTGATTATTTACGAATCCTATGGCTTATAAGCATTCACCTTTCAAGTGAATCATGTAAACCATGTAAACATATTACGGTAACCATTGCATCAATGGTTTCGTCATTTTTGAGATGCTTTACTGTCCCATACAAATGACACATGATTAATTAAGCAGTAAAGTGAACCAAGAAAGAACTTTATAAGAACAGTTATTGATTATCTTTCGAATATAGTTCTACTTTAACTGAACACTAGCCATGTCATTTTGTTTAATAAAACGTTTAGCTACTCATGAGTAATAAGACGAAAATAACAAAACGTTTCTCAAAATGGTGGACAAAAGTACTGAATTGACAGGATAAGAAATAGGAATTTCCAATTACTCTTCATATACAACTTAATGACTTTGAAAAAAAAACAACCTTATCAGTTAAACCTTGAATCAGTTACTTCTCCATGGAACTTATGAATGAGCAATAAAATATTCTATTATCTAATATTGCTAAAACACTTAAGTAAGTGTAAAAGTACTGAAAAAAAAGAATAGAATCTCAGACAACAGTCTACAGATTACCTAGGCTTGTTTAGTTCACACGACCAACATATGAGAAAGAATAATATGGACTTTGTCACATCAGATCGTTTTGTTTAAAATCGGACAAAGCTCAATGAAATTAAAGTTCAGAAAGGGATTTATATAAAATGGTTAGATGATTAATTTAATCAGGTTGGAAACTTAAATCTTCAAGTGTCTTTACAGATTCAATTGATAAGCATAGTAAGAAGTTTTGACAGCTAAAATCATGTAGGTTTAAAAGTACCGACTTTAAGTTAAAATATTTGGATCGTTTTTTTTTCAGTCACTAGTCAGTAAAATGACTTCATTCCAAGGCTGTTATAAAATACTCAGCTAACAACTTCATGAAACTACAATAGTGTTATATTCTTAATTAAAAGACTTGACATTCAAAAATCAAGTGTATGTTAGCTTAAGTAAAATGGTTACTTCAACTTAATATTTGATCGATATAAAAATGATTTGTGAGGTAGTTAATCACTGAAGACAATGATGGACTGTCACTCAATATCATGTGTTGGTTGAAGTTAGACATCAAAACCGTTTTAATGCCGGCTCAGTGGTCAAGAAGTTGTGTTCACGTGTGAGATCGAAGGTCCTGGGTTAGAGTCTCTTTGCTGTGGCATCATGGATGCGCACTGTTCAGGATTCCCATACTAGGACGAAACGGTCGTCCAGTACTTCGGGGTTTTCCATGGTGGTCTAGCTTACATCGACTCATGAATTCAACTATTACGAAATATGTGTTAATGGTCTATTGGTATATGTAATTTGTTAGTCATAGGATTTTGAAATGTAATATTATGTAATATACACATAAATTTTATTTTTTTTTTTTTAAAGTGGAAAGATCACAAATCAAAAAGAAATTAGATAACAGTTTCATTATAGTTTAATACTTTACAAATTTTTGTATACAAGATTTCATAAATCAATGTTTCAACGACCTAAAGATCAAAATATCACACTTTGATCATTCCGTCATTTGAAGTGTTAATGATTAACTGTCATTAATAATACATATCTAAAATTTAATAGCATCCATGAGAGTTAATTAAAGAACACCATCTTAGTAGCTCGAGAGACAACAGACCCTATGAGATTAAAAGGTTTAGTGCTCGATCCCTGATAAGGTTGCAGAATGCAAGCTGTTAAAAAGTCCCATACTAGGATGAAACGATGGATCATAGTTCTCCATGGTTGTCTAGCTACAACCAACCTGTTATAAAGACTACAAATTGACCAATCTTCTACACTATTACTTATAACAGTATCTATGACTACTTAGAAAGAAGTTTAAATAAAATCAGTCCATGATTTAAGGTAAGGAAATCCTACAAAGTCCATCAATCTCTCCATGCTAGTAATCATCATATTCCCACTAGTGACTGACTTCAAGATACAATACCTAGAGTTCAAATGCTACCTCATAGGTCTAAAGATTACACGTTCATGAGGAAACTGAAAGTCCTGGTCCCAAATCCTCTTTGACCAATCCGTAGATGCGCACTGCTAAGCAGTCCCATGCTACAACGAAATAGCTCTCTATCGCCTCTTGGTTTTCAGAAGTGGATCACCCAACAAACTTCCTGACCTAAACTATAGAAGTTTAAATACTTAAAACAATCAGCAACTTGAAAAAAGGAAACAATAGTAATCAGAGTTTAGTGCAAATGATCGAAAAATCAATATCATGCTTCAACTAAATAGCAAAGCAACAGTTATCAACCATTGAACAATCGAAACTATTTCAACTTGCCTCCCCATAATGTAGGGTTTGATAACGGCAGTTAAACAATTCCGATAATTTCAATGGTTGAGATCATGAGTCAATTGAATCTAGACCAACATGGAAAACCTGGAAGCATTCGATAGCCATTCTGTCCTATAGTAGGACAACCTAGAAATGCAATCCACGATCCTGCCTTGCGAGGTTCAACTAATCTACGAAATTGCGCCACCGTCCATCATTGTCTTCAGTGAGTTACTATCTCAAACCAGACGCGGTTGAACTCCATTGATCACTGCTTCTCACTAGGACTCCAGGAAATACTACTTGAAACCAGTCACTAGTGAGCATATGCTGAAGTTAGACATTAACACTATTGGATGCTGGCTCAGTGTTCTAGATGTTAAGCGTTCAAGCACGAGATCCATATGTACTGGGTTCGAATTTCGCGAGGCGGGATCGTGGGTGTGTATTCCTGATCATGTTTATTTCTGTAATAATTTTTC